ATATTATATATATATATATATATATATATATATATATATATATATATATATATATATATATATATATATATAAATAAAGACTAACATTCTGTGTAACTGCAGTGATATTATTTTTCAATTGTGAACACGCCGTGTATATCTGGTCACCACCTCAGTTGTCTATCCATTCTACAGCAACTGTGAAAACATCAGTGCACGGGTGTATCGATTTCCATGATATTAAAAAAAAATCCCGGACAATGTATATGTGACGACACAGTTACTAGGAGTTAGAGATGTAAATTTAATTCAGTTAAAATAATATGGTTGTGATAAAATCATAGCATCATCGCTCTATGAATTACACATTTTTGAGCATTTACATACTAGTATTCTAAATCACGATTTGTTGGAAGAAAAAGTCTCCTCAAAAGTACATGTATCACCACAAAGGCCATTTCCATGATTGAAACTATTATCCACCGTCTTTCAACAAATTTATTCTTTTAATGAAATCACATGACGATGTCATTTTGAAATGTCTTGGTGAATATGTATTTCATACATTAAATGTTAGGTACGAAATTTCAGATCTATTGCTATATTGTAAACGCACAAATGTTCTTTGATTTGTAATCACTTTATGGGCCGAAGGCCTTTAATATTTGTAAATAAAGACCATATATAGCGTAATAGCGATTGGAACAACATTCGTTAGTAAACGAATCTCGGAAGGTGGAGTTGCCCTTCCCATTGTGTCTGTGGTACACTCATCTAGAGTAGGGATCAGCAATTTTAGCTGTTCAGCCTAGGGTAGGATTTGAACTTGGGTCCACTGATTGAGTCCTAAGCAACAACCACTATGCGTCCAGAAACCGATTTATATCATGATATTCTTATCAATGACATGTAGGATGATCATTCTTCAATTAATGTGGACAGAGTATACATTTGACTGATTCTGGCATGCACGTATATTATGTAAATCTTCTGTTATTCAACACATTGCGAAATGCGTATACGGTAGTTAAACATTTTTAAAGGTTGTTTGGCGCATGCGCATTAGAACGGGGGTTCCCCGCACGCTCCGGTAATTTATCAAGGGGTGCATTGTCAAATCAATTCAAACTTCCTAAGTTTAGATTGCGTATGACGCAGTAAAAAAAACAAATAGCCTCTTCGATCGATCTTCATCTTTGTAGTGGTTATCTAACTGTCTATGTGGATCATAACTGGATTTGGATGAGTGTATATTCTTGAAGTTGGCAAAATTGAGACGACTTTAAAAATGACGGCCATGACGGAAAAATTAACCATAGTACTGATTGTAAGTAGTAAATTTTATCTACAACACAATAATGTTTGATTCTAAAATAACAAAATGCCTTGACTTGCTCTCTTAATGAGCGAAGTTTCGACTCCTGGGTACCAATGTCCCAACAATGACGGGTTATGTGGTATGTTATTGTTGTTAAAAATCTCGTAAATCCTTGTAACAGTTATTTTCGTAATAATGAAATTTAAATACATGTATATAAAAACAGTTATTTTCGTAATAATGAAATTTAAATACATGTATATAAAAACGTAAACTCGTACACATTGGCAGGGCGTAACATGTAATTTGTTATTTTATTTTTCCATAATTGTTTTTAAGCGCATTTTCCATTTTCCACATTAAATGTAATTCGTAAAAAAAATTCCAATTTTGATTCTTAAACACAAATTATCAAATATATTATTAAAATGTAATTAGAATTTTTTTTATCTGTATAGTGTAAAAACCTATTTTTACTGTAATAGAAATTTTCATTGTATTTCCTGCAAACACGTAAAATGCCTTTTTTATTTCCTGTAACCTGTTCCAGCTATCATGTGACCGTCACATGTCCTTTCGTTGAGGGTCAGATAAGTTCACTAAATCTGTGTTGGAATTGTTCAAAGGTAGCTAATATTTGCCTGGCTGAATAGTTGGTTAGAATCAAGATACGTGAAGACGCATGCGTAGTCAAAGAAATTGTTGCCTATGAGAACAACAACACTGGAGATGGAGTATTATCAACAACATAGAATTGTTCACCGACAGCAAGACAGACAATTAACAAAACAGAAAACTATAAATATTATTACGACCTAGGCGGTTGTCTATAGAGTGCAGTATACTGTGAATATGATCTCAGTGTGGCGTCGCCAATACTCGCAATGTTATGAGTTCTAATATATGTTTGTTTTGTTTAATACGATTTCATTACCAACTGAAATAACTATTGTTGACAATTAACGCTTTCTGGCACTCACTTCAAAACTTAGACTCTTTTATAAACTCTTTGTGACACAACCGTTTATTATTTTTCGAAAGGAGTAACTAAAGCCAGAATAATTTGTTTGTAGAAAAATAATTTAGTTTTCCCAATATTACACTATTATACCCCAGAAATGAAAAAAAAAATGCTGAATATTGCCAGAAATTCTTATTCCGTGGCGTGTTACTGGTTTTGTTTCTATAATATGTTTGCTGACTAACAGTGGAGCTAAAAACCATCGTCTTCAAATTTGTGTTCCTTCGTGATTGGTGGATGCCTCACTCAATATATATTTGCCTACCCATATACCATGCACCAATGGATAGTAACGGTTAGCCAGTGCATGCCTTCACAGGACAGCAACGAAGCGTCGGCTTTATTTAAAAGAGAGGTCGTGACACAATGAAAGGCACAAATAAAGCGCTGTACTTATAAACGTATTACTTATAAAGGTATCTTAACAAAACATTCCCTAATGTTGTATTTTGCAGGGTTTCACCTTTTTACTAGCTGTCCAGATTGCCGGCGTTTATTCTTTACCAACTTGTAAAACCGGGAAAACGCACGACTATGCCCAATACCTGAACGACGGACGAATCTGTTGCAATAGCTGCCCTGCAGGTAAATACCATGAACAGGTTTACTCACAGGTGTTTTGTGTAAATGTGTACGCATGCGTAGAATAACAAAATACCTGATTAGATTACGTGACAGCCAATTTAATAAATACTTGGTCTGAATATCTGCTTTGTTTAAAAGCAATACTATTGGCATTCCATTTGCGTTCCCAATAATTGCATAATTGATCGATATTTTCACTAGTACTTGATTCAGGAATTGACAATAGTTTCTAAACTTGTTTTAAGATTTGCCATGGGTTATTAACACATGTTTTCTTTCAGGGCAGCATATGAGTAAACCTTGTACGGCGGATAATCCGAGTACTACGGAGTGTAAAACGTGTGAAAATGGAACATACACCAAAATACCAAACATATTGGGTGATTGTCGTCTCTGGCGTAAGCCATGTAATCCTACCACTCAGGTGATCAAGTTACCGGGTTCGAATGTCAATGACCGCGAGTGTGATTGCAAATCTGGTTACTTCAGATCTGCCGACGATATTCATTGCCACAAATGGGCTGAATGTGACGTTGGCAAGGGTGTAATCGTAGCAGGTATGTACTCATACCCTCTGTTTACGCGTCGTTTAATTAGACTATTCCGCGCACACGCGACTGCGTTACTAGTTTCTTTTTGCAACGATTCACCAAGCTGTTGTGCCAAGTGCAATCTGCATTAATGCATATTCATTCACCGATAAATAACACGTGCTCAATTCCTTGCAATATTCACGTTGTCCTTGTAGGTGATGCATATAATAATGTTCGTTGCGCCGAGTGCAAGGAAGGAACATTCAGTGACAAAAAAGACGCCTTGCAGCCATGTTTGAATCACACAATGTAAGTCGAGATAGTTTTACGACACCAGTCGAATAGTATAATAATTGGTGGTTTGTTTTAGGACGAATCTTGTTTTGTAAATGCACTGGGGTAGTTGCCATTTTCAGACGACTTTCGCTTTCTCTCTAGCCAATCGCCTCCCGTTAATAGTTTTAACTTTTTTGTAGTACATACCGTCACGATTCTAGAATGAACGCGAATTTTCTATTGAGCGAACTTGCATGACGCCCTCCGGGGTAAACCAATAACATTTGCTCTTCTGTGCCACGGCTTACAGACACACGCCACCATGCACCGTTATGATATGTTACAAATTCAAGATATGTGCCCAGGTTTTTGAGCAACCTAATATCGTATTAATTCCATTCAACAGGTTCATTTCTTTGGTAATTTCCAAGTGCTATTTTTTGTATAGGCTTTCAGAATGAATGTGTGTTTATTTGTGTTTGTTTTCGTTTATTTCAATCATTTAATAAGTCTCAGGCTACACAATAATTTAGAGTTCATGTACTATGCCTCCCTGCAAATTTCAAATGATATTTTTGAAAATTGTGTGTATTCTTTCTGTCAACTCAAGATAATTTCCACGTGGTCTGCACATTATCCCGTTGTCACACAAGACGATACTGTACGTTGTACGTTTTTCGTGCAAATCGGTTTGTGAGTTGTATTCTGCATACACCAATCTTTTCCATCTGCACTGTACAACCTTTTGTTGTTGCCCACAATATTACTAGACCTCTCATGACAAACATACTTCTATGTTGGCTGTGATGGTACCACAACCCTTTTTATTAATATTTTACATTCACAGAGTTATATTGGGTCATTCAACTTACTTCCTGACGTTCTTCTATACCACTCAACAGTTCGGAAACCATTTCCATTCGATTACATTCAACACACTTGTGTAGTTCTAGGAAACAACGTCAAAGATCCCCTGCCTACTTTTTGTAGAATTCACTGTAATTTTGTTTTCCTTTCTATTGTGCCCGTTCATTTTACCCATATTTCATTTTTTTCATCTGAATCTTGCGTAGTTGTATGTGTTAATAAACGTACCGTATTTCAAAATGACAAAAACAATTGTTGGGTAAAATAAATACACGTGTTATATTTTACATGTTACATAGATGTGAGATGAAAGGATTGCAGACATTGGCACCAGGAACAACAAAATCTGACGCAATATGCTCAGAAACAACACAGATTACCAAGATACACACAGAAGGGAATACAGGTACGATAACATGCAATTTAATACTTCGATAATTGTTATCATCAGAATATAGAACATAGCCTATTAAATCCAGTTCTATGCAATTATATGACTTTATATCTCTGATAATTCTCATTCTTATGTATATAACCTTATTTTTAGTAGAGAGAGTTAGCTCCGCGGAAAAAGTAAATCCCGCAGATATATCAGACCAAGAGGAGCCAGATCAAAAAGGGTCTTCTAACCAGACAAGTGTAGCTGGAATAGTAGTACCATGTGTCATAATTTTGATTATCATCATTGTAATATTGTACACAGTTTTTAGTAGACCTCAAAGAGTACACCCTTATGGAGACCAAGGCGTTCGCTATGCAGGTAAATCTGTCGTTTGTACAATTCAATTCGGAATCAATTGCGTCTTTCAATAAAGAGTGAAAGAACGTGTTTTTTTTTTTAATTTGTAAAGCATTATATAGAAGCCGTGTTCAAGATGTGTACACAATGAACACAATGCGTATTTACACAGAGTATTAGTATAGGTACTCACTAGAGCATAGTAGGCATTTTGTGTGGTACGCATTATTCACAACATGACATACATTACATGATATGCATACACCATTATGCTGTTTATCGGCTCTCGATGTCTCAAAAATAGCTCAATGACTGGGTCATGTGAAACGAAATAATTTAGATTTTACCTTTTGTTTGAAATACCAATGATGTAAGACAGTTCACGACACTCATAAAAAGTACAACGAGTTGATTTATTACATTGTTATTTCTTTCCTTGGCGTCAACTCGGGATTACTTCTATTCAAGGTAATACATTCAAGACCTAGCGTAACACGTGTGATTTTATCGTCCATGTTTCTGAACGACATAATGATCGGTGATAATGATATCCTCATAATATTGGCCTACAGAAATAAGAGTGAAAATATGTTTTGGCGTTTTTACCAAGAACAACATCTTTAGAGAACAAATATGCAAAACTGAAAACTATTTTCATAGGAATTGAAGTTGAAGCATTATTGAATAGAAATGAATAGTATTAATATATAATAACGACATTTATTTTTAAAAATTTTGAAATATCCTAACTAGAGGAAGCAGTTTTATATGGTTCACAAATCACCATTTCCATGAGTTTTGACAAGTATTTAGAACAAAAAATAATTAATTTTTATCCAGAAATCCATATAGTAAATATATAGGGAATGTGGCGAAAAACACTAATGGTAGCCGCCAGCGACGTTGAGTACCTGGGCTGATCATGTAACACCGTAATTCCATATTAGGTGGCATGATGAGAAGATGTATTCTTTAATGTTTTGTCTTTGTGTGTTTTCAACTTGAAACTACAACTAAAAACATATTCATGCAAAAACACATGCTATATTTTTGTATAACATGAAACGTAATTTATCCAACAATATGCATATTAAAAACATTCAAGTCATATGGCAAGTATTTTCTTGGTAACAGTTCAACCCGTACTTTTGACGGCCTGGGTTAATCCCAAGTAAATTGTTATTTTTTGAATATTACCAAGTATATGAGAAATGTATAACATGAATATGCGAAATGATATTAGCAACTTTTAGGTCATATTTAATGTGGAGTACAATTTGCGCGGCCAGGTAGTTTCAAATAACAGTATTTTTTATAGTGCGAAGTGAGATGTGCATCCTACCCACAAATGAAAATGATGAAGTTCATCGCAGACATATACATGAAAGTAATGAGCTTGTAAATAAGGACACAGAATCAAATCCAGCAGATACTACGATTCATATTGATCCATGTGATGAAAATGACGAAAGCATCCCAAGTGATGACATGCCTGCTGGTGCTGATGCGACAGAGTAAGTAATTTGCTTGCAAAAAACTGTCACGTTTACGTTACTAAAAGGACTATAATGTACGTGCTCGTATTGTTTATAATATTAAGGTTTTTATACTGTACGTATCCGTGTTTTTGTGTTTTTTTAGTTTCCCTGGAAAGGATAATCTGGTACAACAAGGGTCTATTCTAATTGGCATTGATGGTGATTCAAAAGCTCAGGGTAACGTGCATGGTATAATAAAGACGAATAATAAGAAAGGTATATTCATATATAATGATCGATAAGTTGAAACGAACCATTTCTTAGTTATGTTCACAATGGGAATTTTGAATTGTCTAAATAAAAGATCGTATAAATAATAATTTATTAATTTCCCAGAACCCAGTTTGGTATTCGGAATAAATGATACAGAGACAGCAAAAAGTATCTCATCTGAACATTTTTTAAGTAAGTATGGTTAGTTACGTTGAATATTTATTTATAAAATTTAACAAAATAATGAATTGTTTAATAAACACGAATGAGTCAAGGATTTTTACTTAATACTTAACAGGAAAAGTACTAGAAGTAGGAACGGACGACTTCAATCAATGCACAAAAGAGCCATCTAAAAATATTAACGATGTAAATGAAAGTAAGTTTCAATATTCATTGGTAGTTTAATACTAGCAACTGCCTGACAAAGGTCAAATAGCGATATTATACGAATATAATGTTTATTGTGTTTACACTTATCGGGAAATTGAAGATGAACTGTTTCTAGTTTTTTTTAAGTTGTCATCTTGGTGTTTAGTAGTTGTACATATATATTTATATATAAATGATAATTGTAATACACAGGACTAAGTTCAGTATTTGGAGTAAGTGATACAGTGGCAGCAAAAAATATTACATCTGGTCGATTTTTAAGTAAGTATTACCCGTTCTGTTGGATATCTTATTTGTAAAATTTTACAGGAGGCGAATTGTTGCAAAACCCGCAAACGGTCTAATGATTGTTCTCTATACTCTAACAGGACAAGTAGTAGAAGGGAAAGCGGATGGTAATAGATCAGCTGATGAAACGAAGAAATGCAAGGAAAACCCTGCTAAAAGTATTGACGATCTATCTGACAGTAAGTTTTTTTTTCATATTGTATTGGGTAGTTTAAAAGGCGATGATCGTCGCGCCGTCCCTTGTTCGATATAGGATTTGTGTTTGAATAATTTAGATGGGTTTCAGTTCTATCATGATATATATTAATATCCATCGACAAATTAAAACTATTTATAGTCACTTCTTTAAGATGCTTTGTAGATATTTATTAAATTGTACATATATAATAAATATAAATGATATTGTAATACACAGAACCAGTATTTGGAGTAAGTGATACAGATGCAGCAACAGGTATCACATCAGAGCGTCTTTTAAGTAAGTATAGCCAGTTCAGTTGGATATCTTATTTGTTAAATTTGACGATAGGGGAGGTGATTTGACAAGGAGCACATACAAGCTATCGATTAATCTTTATACGTTAACAGGAAAAGTATTAGAAGAAAAAACGGACAACTTCGATGAAAGTAGACCAGCTTATAAAATGTATCAGTGCACGGAAGACCCTGCGAAAAATATTGACGATCTATATGAAAGTAAGTTTCATTATTATACGCCTAGATCTGTAATATATAGCGTTGAGCCCAACAACGTGTTATTGTACTCGAGTTATTGTACTCTGTTTGACCCCTTCACAAGGTCAATGAAAATACAAACCAAATAACCGTGAAGTGTTTATGTCGAAACGTACGATGTACAAGAACCTAAATTTCGGTATTTTGTTAATAACTTTATAGTTGTACTTTTTAAAAAAAAAAAAAAAAACTGGAAGGAAAAGGTCAGCTTAAATATCACTTCCGCTTTTATTGCTAGTTTGCCACCAGACGCTGTTGTATTCTAAATTTGCATAATCGAACGCGCCACATAAGCGTAAACTGTGAGCTTGTTCCACACTCGATCGAACTACAAGAAAGGTCGTAACCGCCCTTATGCTTTCATAAAAGCTATAAAAACTGTCCAGCAAATGTATTTGTGCATCCGCGTCACGTTATCTCCATCAAGTATTAACAATGATGTAGTATCGACAAAAAGATCAACAGCCGGGATACTCCAGCGCTTGACGGAACGCGTTGAAAAACAGTGGCGGCGGCCGAGGGAGGTGATCCCCCCAAAATCAAGCTGAAACCTGTTGTGTCAGCACAATTTGCCTTTTGTATTTTACTTACAAATTATAAAAGTATTATTTCAACTTTGTCCGTTATCTGTAGAGGAAGCGAGATCTCCAGTAGAAGAAACCCCATTGCTCAACACGACAACATCGGAAGAGCCAATATGGGAAGTAGAGACGACCTACACTAAAGACGATAACGAAAGTACGCTGAGTGATCGAAGTGATGAGTCCAATACAGCCTGCAAAAAGATCTGATATGTAATAGTCCGTCAATGCAACATCATGTCTGTTTTGGACAATGCCAGATGCCCCGAGTCCAACGATCACGTAGATTGTTCAGTAATTATTCACTAAAATCCAAAGGTATAAAAGTTTAGGGAATGCAGGTGCCTTTATATACTAATGTTGTGCAATTCTATTAACACTGGGGTTCTCGAGTATATAGGTATTTAGTTTTATCTGCTGTCGAATTTGGTACAGAGAATGGTTACGGTGTCAGAAATAATACAGTTCCATGAAAATTGCTATAAGCAAGCGAATATTTCTATACATGACAGCCCGATCTCATTTGACATGTTCGAAAGTGGCTCTCGAAGAGAATTTCAATGGAAATATCGAAAGGTTAACTGTTTTACACATAAGTGCATATAAATATGTGCAATGTTAACTTAAACTATCAATGCAATACAATGATTCATCCTTGCAATTTACACTAACTACTTAACAATTGTATCTTGTTGGGTTCCCGTGATCGACAGGAGCGGAAATACGTGGTGATGTCAAACACTTTTCATGAGTGTATGTTACCTTATTTCGATGAAACAAATTAATAAAAATGTACACGCGGATGTAAAATGATGTTTTTTTATAGAAATGTTATTTATGAAACAATTTTGTAATATCATGTGTTTGTATACATCTGTCACCGTAACGCATAAGATACAGCGTGCCGTAATTTTGCGGTATTTTACGGGGTATTTTAATCATACCATATTAGGAAATGCGAATTCCAAATATGGAATGATTACGCGCTTAAGCGACCTCTAATAATAAAAACACACATGACTGCCACCATGGTTTGACGGGAATCCACACAAAGAAGTTCTGTTCTAAACATTTTGTATTTCGGCATCTTCATGATGTATCCTTGCAAGGAAAGGATGTATAATAATAAGATCGCAACTTCGTATATCTAAATATACGCAAATAAACATGGATTTTTATAGAAAACTGAGCATGACAACTGTACTCAGAAATATGTTGGAGAAATATTTATTCAGCAAGTATAATTATTTTACGTTTAATGATCTTTTATAAAGAATGGTCAATTAACAGTCTGTATACCCACATGGTGAACTTGTGTTTTTGGGAGTGTAATTGTCGTACTATTCTGTCCACACAAAACTGAAATAGCCCCTTTCGATATTCTTATACAATTCAGTCTTCAAGCAAAAAGTAATCTACATCACTAAAATTATTGTTCACATTTCTGTATAAACATGTTCAACATGTACGGCACAGTGCGTTATTCACTTTTAAAAAGCCTTGGAAAAAATACTCGCATAATTGCATTTGACAGTACCATGTAAATCTTTTATTTATATTTTGTAAAGTGAATGACATCCATCTCTGAATGGAACCACCTGAAATATCGCGGCTGTTGTTGAATGCTAGATTTGTAACGTCTAGTTAGCATGCAACACATGCGGATTATAGTAATATATGTGTATTTATAATACTATTTGTGCAAATATATGCATTCAATTGTACTGTGCATGAAAAATGTCAATTATTTATTTATTGCAATATTATATTTACAGCTTATTTAGAGTATGGGTATACTTATAGTATATTAGTTTTCATAACTATATTTCAAAATTATTACATATTTATTAAGGCAATTCAAGAAAAAGCTAGCAAACAAGAGGTTCTGCTAGTATGAATGCCTATGCAATATTTGGTTCTAAGTAGTCACCGTCAGATATGGTCAGATATGATGCACATTTTACAGCAGACCTTATTTTCAAATGGTCTCAAAATTCCTTTTGTAGCTGATATTATTCACTAATCAGTGGTTACTTTGAAAATCACAGTGATGGAACTATTGGGCGTTATGCAGCAGTTTCAGCAGTTTCGACTTGTAACGTTTCAGCTCATCTATAAATGTTGTGACGCATTTTGTGTAATTTGATATTTATAGACGTGTGTATTAATTTGTATGCCAATAGACGCTCACGAGAGGGCGTTAAGAATGATCGAATTTACTGGAGCTTAAGGAGTCTTTGTTCACTATAAATGTAGGTCACATGTCAATTTCAATTAGTCGTCTATTATCACAGAGTCTGGACACATGGCTAATCACCGACACCTTGCCACGTGGAGGCTAGCAGTTGCTTCGTTACGAGTTCTCAAGCCGAATTGAAGACAACGTACAGTTTCACTATGACATTCCGCGGACGTTTGTAAGAACTGCATCCTCTCTCTCTCTCAGCAAGATTTACAAGAACTCGTTGCCGTCCAGCCATCACGTCGCAATTGTTCGAGCCGAAGCCAGCCGAAAATTAGGCCACGCGTTGTTTGCGTCGAAAAGAT